TTTTTATATTCTCGAATATTTGTAAATACAGAACGGAATAATGGTATGTGATGGAACAAAGCCTTTTTTTACGATTCTCATGAATAAATAAAATGTCTGGACTCAAATAAAGTAATATACATTTATCGCTTCACCATATAGTTATTTCACACTAGATTGAATACATTTCTAAGTATTCAAAGCCATTGAAGTGCAAAACATCATACAGTGAAACAAAAGTAGGTTAACCTCTAAACAGAAATACACTGGAAATTAGCAGTGCGTGATAATCTAATTAGTGCATCATTATTATTAAGGATAGTGATCCTTTAAGTGATTGATTCTAAGCCATAGCTAACATTATTCAATCAATCTCATTCGTTTGGATAATCTTATTTGGATCTTCTAGTCGATCATACGCGTTAAACAATAAAAATATTAAAGTTGCAAGTGAAGATCTATTTTGTGAAACACAATCTAAAAGAAGTGTTGAAGTATAGATTTACAAACTAACTTCTTCCATCAGCCATTATTTATACTACAAAAGAATGAAATATTACATCTGAATACAGAAACGCTTCAATATTAATTTTCATAAATACAACATTGATACGTTGATATGTAGGATTTGACAAAGTTCTAGTTATCTTGTAGATATATATAAGTAACATTCAGATATTTCAACAAGAGTTCTATGGTTTGTATAAAGACAGAAGAACAATACATGCAAATATCTGTAAGGATAAAAGACATGTATGATCTCTCATGTTGCTCTGAAAAAATTATGTTTCCATGCATTTGTTAGGGACACGCATTTTTGTTCTGCATTGATGTAAAAAAATTGACAATAGTTCAAAAAAGCTCCATGATCACATATGAAAAAAGATGATTTAAAAAATATTTTGCAAGTAAACCTAGATTTCTAAAATAACTCCTACAAATAAACACATTTTATAAGATTTCACGTTTCAACGAACGTTTAATAGTCTTATTTGTATTCGTACAATATCTTAAATTATTCCCGCTAAAAATTAACTCCTGTTGTTGAACAATAGCATATTAAGAATCTCTAATGAAGTACATGTAAAGAACAGCATTCTCAATCTTATCAAAAATGAGAATTATCATTCGGTCTGGTTGATAGGAAAAAAAGAATACAAATAATATAAAACAAATTTTCGTTGAGATTTATCTGTTCATCTGTAAAATCGTCATATTATACAAAGTGTTTTAATTGAGATCACATAGTAAATATAAAAAGAAAACTCCGTTAACTGTCATCTATCAATGAAAAGTCATATCAAAAGATTCATATATGCGGTACGGAACTGAAAGAAAACAAGGACAATCAACCATTGAATTTTTTTTTCTTCAAATAATTAACTTGTGTGCTGTTAGAATTTTTCTTTTCTCTCCTTGTCAACGTAGTATCATTTTAATAACTATCAAACGAAGAACTTCAAGATAGATAAAAACAAGCAAAGAGATTAAAGAAAGAGTTGGATAGAAAAGAAAAAGCTTTCTTCATTTTGAATGACAGTCGTCATTAGTTCCTTTTTTTCATTCTTTGTTGCTCTATAATCAAACAACATTTCTTAAGAAAACGTCTAAAACAAACCTAGATTGAAATAAGACGTATTTTTAGTGTTTCTCATCTTTGATAACTCATAGATTTGCGTTCATTTCTTTTTTTCTCTACTATAGTATGATAGCTAGTAGGTATTGGTTTTGACTTTATAAATGACTTTAAATTCTTTTTTTTTCTAATTATTTGATTAGTCGAATAAACTAAATCAATTCTATTCTTATAATAGATTATAGGAGTAGTAGACTAACTGTTTAGATTATTGAAAAAAAAAATACTTTTAATTCATGTAAACAACTCTTTCAACTACATAAAATATATTTTTAGTAAGAAATATATGAGCGTAATAGGACATACGTAATTTTTTTTCTTGAACTCTTTTTATATCCAAATGAGAAGAAGAAGAAGAAGAAGAATTAGTAGTTTCAATTGAACTTCGTCATTTCTTTATTCCTTATCTCTGAATTATTCACAAGACAAAAAAAATACTCAGCTTATGCTCATCTCAATTATCTTCAGAGTTGAGAAGTTTCAGAGTATATTGCGCTCACGACGTATCGAATTATTTTAATAATTCATTATACATATACTTTTTTTAAAATAGGAACATTCGTATCCATTATAAACATTATTTATGTGAAAGAATTTGAGTAGAAATTTTTATAAACTGTAGATATTGCTTAGACACTAAAAACAATAAAATCATGAATTATCCAACAGAATTAAATTAACTATTGCGAAGATAGCATATTTGCTACTAAATGTAAGAACTAAGTAGTATCTGTCGAATCATGAATAATATTAATATATAATGTTTTATTTTTATCTATATCAGATAAATTATATTATATTTCAGAGTTATTTTAGAATTAAGATTAAATATCTTTGAACTCTTTGACATGTCAAATATGGCGCAGAATCTGTCATCTTCAACACATAATGGTGCAAATAAATCTTCTAAGACAAAACAATCTCTTCAGAATAATCATAAAAGTACTGATCATGAAACCATCATCAATAGTATTACTGGTTATGAAAATGATCTTGGAGATAGATTAGAATTATTGGAACGTGAAGCTTGCGTGCAAGCACAACAGATTGAATTGAATGAATGTCTCGAATGTGTTGCTCAACTTGTTGATTTATTGAAACGTACTGTTATTACCTCCGAACTTCAAAATCAAAATGATTTGCATAATGATACACGACATCATCTACAACAACATAAGGGTATTACTGGCAATAGACTTATTGATGATAAAGTCGAGAAGATTGTTATTAACAAAGGTTTAACTAAAGAACAATGGAATTGTCTTCTTTATATGGCATTAAGTACTGATGAGACAATAGAATTAACCAAAGTTAGCAAGAAACATTTACAAAAAGTACGTGATAAAGCATTACGTCTTCTTGACGCTGATGAACAGAGTGCAGTTTTTGCATTAATCAATGCTACTGAAAAATATGTATTGAAAAATCATTCCATTGAAAAATGATAATTTTATTAATGGTTTAAATATTTTACAAAACATTCTATAATATTATATAATTGTCTATATTTATCATGTAACTCTATATCATTAATTTAATAAAGACTATCTTTTATATGTCAATGAAATATCAATTTCATATTGTTTTCTAAAATGCTTATAGATCTACAAATATGATTAGAAACTTTTGATGGCAAAAGTAAATAATTTTATGGATAATTATTTGCGCACAAAAATTTATATTTGGAGAATTACTCGAGAAAAATTTCGTACATAATGAATTCTATTTGAATTTTATTTTTGATATAATATTGTGCTAGTCTTGTATTAATCCTTGTTTCTATATATAATTATCATTCAAAGAAAGAAAGGAGTCTATTGCAAGTTGTTTTAAGTTGCAAATGTATCTTCGTAAGATAATCATATGTCAATAAAAATAATAGAAATAATCCAGCATATTTACCGATTATATAAACAGACTAATAAAAATAATCTTGAAAAGAGTTTCTATTTTGGACAGAAAATATAATCAATGAAAATCACAAAAAAAGATAATATGAAAAAAAAACCGAAATATCAGCACAGTATTTGATATTTTCTATCGTACCTTTTACATATAATCTTGATGCTTTGTTATAATCCTTTTGTTTATCCTATGGCTATGATTATTTTGTGAGGTTGATCTTACCAGGTAATTAATTTTAGTGGACGAAATACCAATAGAAAAGCAGATTTTTTTTGTGCGCTTTACCGTACATTAATTATCTAAAGGTTACATGGGGATATTTAAAAAAAAACAAAGTATTCATTATTGAATAGCTAGGAAAAAGTTGTTTATAAAACTTCAAGCAAAATATTTAATGACTATTTTAATATTGATGAATAAGATGTGAATTTGATAGCTATTAATTCTTCCAATAAATTGCTATTTACATTTTACTAAAAATCATGACTTTGCTTTTCATTGAGTCAATTTTTATCTACGTATTCTGTACTTATCATTTGTTTATACAATAAAACTCTTTTTCCAATTAATTAATTAATTAAACATTCACACATAGTTGATTGTTTCAGTTGAATTCCATTTTATTGTGAGAATATGCATCCAAATAAATGCAAAGATGGATTTCGTATGTTTCATAAAAGAAAGAGAATTAATTGTAATTTGTTTTGATTAATAAGAAATAAAAATGTCTATAAATAACCATCAGACACAAGCGTAGATGAGATTTATTTAGTCAGGTTATTCATCATTTTGTCTAATCAACCTTTAATTGAGAACATGGACTAAGTAAAAAAAAAAACAGAACTCTTAGCCCTCGTGGTTCAACAGGATGTCATGTTACCATATTGAACGAAGACATTTATGAAGGAAATAAAAGAAACAGAAAAAATTCATACTTAAAAATTTTCTCACGCAATCAAATTTCCGATGCACAAACTTTTCTTGCTGTGTTCGTCCACATAGCCTTCATTTGATTGCTGTCAACAGAATAACTTCAAAATAATATGAAGAAATGAGATAACTAAAACTCTGTACTTGGAAAAGAAAAATTTCTTTTTTTAAAAGATAGTTCCTACAGGGTCATTCTCTTTGTTTTTTGGCTGACAATAAGCAAAAATTCTTCTCTGAGAAAAAAAATATCTAACTTAAGATCATATTAACATAAAACTCATATTTAGGTGTTTTTTTTTCTGTCTAGAATTCACACATGATTTTTTTTCTCATTTTGTCTACTGTGTTGCAATGATGAGACGAGAGAATTTTGTTTTGTTATCTGAATGACAGAAATACTGATACTTTAAAGAAAGTTTCAAAAATGTACAAACACGATCTTCGATTGAATACATATTTTTATCAGTGGGCATACATCCTAAAAATAAATGAAAGAGATATTCAAAAGTTTTGATTCCTCTCAGCTAATCGATGATATCTATGACACACTTATATGTAGTTAATTGAACGAAATATGTAATTTTGAAAGAGAAAGATTAGAACTATCATCTGAAAAAAAAAAGATACTCCAAAATGTATAAATGTAGTACAATGGTATTAGCATTTTTCTAATCTTGAGTGAATATTTTCATCTTACATTTTTTGAGAAAAATTTAAAAAACAATTTTTTTTTTCAATAAACGATCCCAATGATTTATAAATTTGTCAGATTGGCATTTTGCATAAATGTCAATAATCAAATTTGATGATGTGTTGATCTTGTTTTTGGACAATCGCTTTTAACCTTTTTGAGATACTACCAATCATTTTCTCATATTTTGTCAATATATCAATAATGTTTTATTTGATATCTTCATATTTACTTAAGTCTTATCGAATGATATTTCACAAGTTTTCTATTGGCCATATATCATCTATTTGGCTTTGAAAGAAATACTGATTTTATTTTAAAATAAAACTGTCGGAAAAAATAAATACAAGCAACTACTGACATATTAAAAGACAAATTCCAAATAGTAAATTCCGTAAAAAACTTTAACAATATGAATAGTTTTATAAAGTCACAATAATAATTAGCAACTATGACGAATGCAAAAACATGCAATTCTTATTTAAAAAAAAAATTATTCATTTAAAAAATGTAAGATGAAAATATCCAATAAAGATTAATAAAATGACTATATCATTGTACTGCACTTATGCATCGCGAAATCTCTTTTTCTGAAATAGCAGCTCTAATGTTTTTCTACAAAATTATATATTTAGATCAATTAGTTATAAATAAGTTTGCTATAGGTAATATCAACTAACCGAGAGGGTCGAAACTTTTGAAACATCCTTTAGTGTTTATAATTACGCTCGCGTTCTTATTATATCTGTTCCAGAGAGAGAGAGGAAGGAAGAAGGGGGAATATTCCTGTCTTTCAGCTACCTTGCTGTATGATGTTCTAGCTAGCCGCAGGTTCAATATCCCCATATCTTCCCTACAATTCTGACGAGCTTTAGCTTTGAATAGAAAGCTAGTCTAATGTAGAATTCTTGCGCTCAATTGTTTGAGCTCTTTTCACACACACTAACTAACCACATACTAACTACACGAGCAGATGTATATCATAATATAGTCAGCATCCTGTTGAACTGGTGATCCAAGACAAATAATCGTTAGTGTCTTGTCCAAGGTCATTCTATGACTGGTGATACCGAGGTCTGTACACAGTACTTTGTGAATACGTGTCGAACAACGTAGCCACTCAGCCGTGGTGGTAAGAGACAAAGAATTATACTATTGTGAATTGCATGACGACAAAATATGTCGATTAATTTATTGTCAATCATATTGACATAGTAAAATAATCATCACAAAATAATTTTTTCACTAAATAAAATAAAATGTAGTGAAGACTGATTGTTTTTTTTTGTTTAAGCATATTATTATTAGATTTAAACTTTAATGTCAACATTGTTGGCACAAAAAACATCCGGCATCAACTAAAGAATAATAAAAGAATTACTAATAATTGCTTTCTTAGCAATAAAACCGAGGAAATTGCTATTAACAAGGGGTTCAATCAAAGAACAGTAGCATTATCTATTCTATTTAACTTTGATCACGAATGATAGAACACAAAGAGTGAAAATCAGTAAAAAAACCTACTTCCAAAAAGCGCATGATAGAATCATTAACTTTACTCAAAAGTGATCAACAATCTTTTGCATTTGCTTTACTCACTGCTATCAGGAAAACATATAACTAAAAAAGTACTTCATTGAAACCATTTATTCACAATGTATACAGATCAACAATGTAAATAATTTAATCTCATAGAGCTTACGCGAACAGCTTTTATTCATGGTAAACGTATTCATCTATAAGATTTGGTATTATAATCGTGATATATTAACAATCTCATTTTACCTATTTGAATAGATTATTATGAAAATATTTTGATATCGAATGATTTTCGTTAAATAATACTTAATCAAGTTCGATGTCTGATTAAATATTTTGAAGAAGTCTATTAAATTTCAGCTTAAAGAAATCAAGTTCATCTCATTTTAAGAAAATATACTGGTTTATTTGTCTTGCTCTAATTCACTCTACATATAACATCTTCCCATAAATATCTTACATCTTGACATTCTCTGTATGATTTCAAACTTTTATTCAGAGTATACAGGTTTGATTTATACATGAAATTCTAGAAGGGTCTATAAATATATTATGATCATCTCAAACAGAAATTTTTCCGTATTCTTCTATAGGAATCTGGCAGTCAAAGAATGTTTTTCTGTTTATAAAGAAGTTATCTATATTAGTTCATCAGAGATGCTGTATTGATTATTGGTACATAAAAGTTTTTAATAGGATTGTTGAGTATTGTTACAATATCGGTCCTTCAAACAGGAAAATAGGCTATTATAGGAGACAATCTTGCAAGTTGACAATGAGTTCCAGCTGTGACGAAAAATATTACCTGTGAAACATATAGAGCTCAATAGTGTACAGTTTTTGAGAAAGTTTCACGTTGGTATTTACGTGTTCGGTGACACAGAGCCGAATACACTGGAATATAGTCAACAAATGATCTAGACCTAAGAAAAGGGATCATTTTCAAGTCTAAAGAAAGCAACGATGAAAACTATTGATTAAACAAAATCGAAGAACATCTGCAACTGTATCGAATTGAATTCAGAAACAAAATTTGTCGAAGTTTATCTTAGAACATCTCAGGGATAATAATGTCTATGAGTACCATATATATTTCTCAAGAATTACAAGCAGTATATGGACTTTTAGCGTATCAAAATTTGAGAAAAACTTGATTTCTTATATATCATTCGATGCGTTACAGATTGTTCTATAAAACTATATACATGATATCCTGGTTAAAGCCAGATCACAAAATTCAGCAAAGCCCTTTATATGAAAGAGAAATTCATGTGCAGTAAAGCATATCAAGATGTTACAAAACGAAAAAAAAATCCATAGAATATTATTTCATTGATTGCTAATTGTGAGCAATGTCGCGCAAAAAAACACGTCTTAACGTAAACCACATTATACAAATCAAAATCATAAGATGATTTCTACAGAAAAAAGACCGTCATTGATTGTATCGTTTGTTGGTTTTTCTCAATCTGTGGAATTTTGTATCTTATGGACTCCGTTTCATCTTGTTATTGCTGTATATAATCATTCGGTTCATATAAAACGGAGAAAAAGATATATAAGGAAATAAAGTGCAAGTCCAATAATATAATCTCATGATTTTATTATGGACAACACTCTGAAGACATTGATTTTGTAACTATTATCAGAATTATGAAATAATTTTTTCATGAATATGATGATATAAATGATTATCCAGATAAAATATTTTTTTTGAGTTTTTACTTCTGTCTACTTAGAAATTATTCCAGATGGTTTTTCAATTAATCAGAGTTATTTAGAACGGTGATAAAAATCTTATAGTCTGTCCTCTTATGTTTTTGTTTTGTTATCTGATTTTCTGCATATCATCATATCTCTAAATAATGTTATTAAAAAAACATGAGTTCTATATGAAAGAATTCCACAAACAGTTGAAATTCTTGGAACCGAAATTCTATATTTTAACCGTTTCTCCATGTAATCTTTTTCCTATTCTATAAATATCATTTTGCTACACGTTATAGATTAATTATAGTGCATTTAGATTGAAAGTTTTCAAATTTTTATGAACTGAATTACAATGAAAAAAAAATGTGAAATTTAAAAAAGAAAAATTTTTACGGTTTATAACTATGAAATTTTATATTTTATTGCTTTCAACTTTCTTTGTTTCGATCATATGTAATCTATCTATGATCTTCGTGCTAATTTACTAAAAATCCTAAACGACTAAACATTATTTTTGATTATATCACTTAGATCATAGTACAAAAAAAAATTCATTTAATGAAAACTTTAATCCAAATTTAATTTATTGTTCTATCAGCATATTTATTTGAAAATTCTTTCCAAAATTCTCTTTTTTATATTGTATATCGTTTAAGTGTTCTATGAATTCACACTCTAATCTACAAGAATACTAATATATTTTTAATAAAAAGTCAGTAGAATCTACGTTACGATTATAAATATCTGATTACCTTAAGAAAACATAGCATGTACCTGCTTTTTTCTTATCAAACAGAGTATTTATTTTTACTTTATCATACTGTAAATATATGCACCAATAGCTTCTTGTGAGTCAATATTGAAAAATAACTTTCGAAAATATTTTTTTATGAACAAGCACAGTAACATTTTAAATTTTTGGAGTATTCAATTCCAAGAGAAAGCAGCGATTCTTCTACTACAGGAGAATGCATAAGTTAAAATATCCTTCGTTTTTTTTTTGGCTTGGCAAATAATTCAATAAAACTTAACAATATCATATATATTTATACTTTACATATCATTTATAAATCACGTAATATTCAAAGACAAATAAACATCAGTAAAAAAATATTACTCAAAAAGCATAAGTTTAAAGATCCTTTCTTGCTTTTTGTTTTTAGTCGAAACTTGTTAAGACAAACGAAATTTCAAGAGAGAACACTGAAAAATTCTACAACTTCCTAGACTTCAATTAGAGTTGAACATAACTTAATATAGATAGACAAGATCAGCTCCTTTTTCTCATCTTTTTCGATTTTTTTTTTAAATTTTAAATCTTTTAAAAACTCTATTTAATTAATTTTACTTAAATCTCAACATTGCCTAACACATTGATTTTATTGATGTAGAGGAAACAAATTAACATGCTCTATAACATGGTAAGACAGATGATTCAAACAACTGCCATATACAGTATTCAATTACAAAAAAAACTAAAATCATTTTTATTACACTTGAAATCTTTCTTATGAATATGAAATCGAATATGTTAAAGTTCTCACGATTATGTAAAGAACACATTCAATAACATAAATAAATGATAATTATCTTCGAAAGATTATAACTGATGCTTTAAAAATAATAGAAATAACTGATAAATATCATACTTCTTTTTAATCATTTTCTTTAAGTAGTACATGTATGATAAAATAACGAATAGCATTATTTTGAAACTCATTATTGAAGTCTTCCTATTCATTTTTTTCCTGAAAATTTTACATAAATATTGTATAGTATTTTTCAAACTATAAATCATTCGTGTATTGAATAGAGTAATGCAACAATCAATTACTGCAATACCATTTTCTATGAGTACAAAAAACATGCAATGAAATAAATATTTATTCGAAAATAATTATTCATACTCTATTTTTTCATTATATATGGAATGTTGTTTTATTTTTGTCAAATAAATTCAATAGAACGAAAAATATTCGAGTTAAAAACAAATCAATAACAACTATCAAATATAATTTTCGTCCAGGTATGAATTGATCTTTGAATTGAAACACTATATATAATTAATGCAATGATTACTCGTACTATTTAGACAAGTATTTGACACACTTTATACTATTTACTTTATTTTTTAAGTCGAATTGACAATTATTTATATTTTGTTTCTTTATTTAATAGTACATCTTTTGATTATTAATTGTATAAGTGCATATACACCTTAATCTGACATTGAGGTAAATCTGTAGTTTTGTCTAGTCTTCATATTTTGACAAAAACTTATACAAAAATCTATTGTGTCATTAAGAAAAATTCCATCGTCAATATTTATTAAACGTAAATATGCCAGGAATGATGAAAGAAACCTTTAAAAAAAAAGAAAGTTTTGATAACTGAATATTTATTCTTAATCCATTCGGATTAGAAATCTTATATTAGAATAACATAGCGAGACATATTATTCATTGACGATGAATAATTTTCTTTTTTTTTTCTCTGTTGACCGTAAAATTCATTTTTCTCCGTAAGACATAACCATGTTTTTTTTCAATCAGTTTCTTAATAAGAACAAATATATTTCATGTTTCTCTTCTGTTCTTTCTTTTTAACATTATCATCCAAAGAAAAAAGAAACAATATCTTTGTACAATCAAAAAGAAAAAACATAGAACATAAAAAAAAAAAAACGCAATATGAGCAGCAGCATCAGTCATCATAGCACCACCATAAAACACCTCTTAACTTGTTTCTTTCTTTTTAATATATTTCCCGTATCTTGAATAGAACAACGCGCATACATACATTGAAGCAAGCCATTCATTATACATAAGAAGAAAAAAAAATATATATATATGTATATAGAATATATAGAGATACGCATGAATGATAAGTTCACCGAGAATGTTGGAAGGTAAGCGGGATGTGTCTCAGATCTGTCCCTATGCCCAATAGAATTCAAAACAATCTGACAGACAGTTCAGAATAAAAGAAAAAGCAAATTAAGTTGATAGAGAAGAAGCTTTGAAAGAAAAAAAAAAAGAAGAAGAGAACACTACGAGACAAAAGCGAAAAGAAAACGTTGGTTTTTTTGGCTGCATGCGTATATGTATACATAGAATTTAAAAAAATAGGAATCGAGATTTTTCATTTAACGACTTCCATGTGTATTTTCATATGAGGGCATTAAAAGTTCTCGTGCATAACCATCGTTAATAAATCGTTTAAATTCTTTTAATATAAAAAAATATAATAATAAATTAATAATAAAAAAGAAAATAATTTTTTTTTTTACCTTCAAAACTAAGTTTTCCACGTGATGTTAAACGTGAAATCATATCTTGTATTTTATAATTTGATTCTGATCGACCAACAACAATAAGTAAATTTGCAATTTCTTGTTGATTTAAATAACTATCATTATCAGAATCTAATTTTTCGAATGTTCGACGTAATTGATAATCATTATATTGACCTGTAATAATCGGTGATAATAAATCACAAAATTGTTCAAATGTTAATCGTCGTACATCTATAATTGCAAAAAAAAAAAAATAATAATTTCAAAAAAAAAGAACAAATCAGTAAAGAAATTTTAATCATACGTGGTAATCGATCATTATACCGTTCGAATGTATCTTTACTTATTTCAAGACGAAAATGTTTATCTGGATGTGTACCATACGATGTTTGCTGACGATTTCGACGATCACCACGTTCAAACCATTCATACATTACTAAATTTAAAATAAATATTGTTTTTTTTTTAAAGAATAAAAAACGTTTTGTTTATTTTATACCTTTAATCATTTCACCATTAACACGTTTTGTATATTGAGCATATTTTTTAATAATATCATCACGAATTCTATTATTAATTACTTGCATGATCTTCCAATCTTGTGCTTGATGGGCTATCATAGATAGTAGATAAATAGAATGTGGTTTTTTTTTCTTATATTTCTTTATGATGGGGTAAGGTCACTTTGATAAGGAAAATCAAAAAATTGATTTTATAGGTCAAAAAGAACTTCTTTTTTTTTGCTTTTCTTTTTTTCTTTTTTTTTTTATTGTTTTTCAGCTAATGAAAAATGCAAAGAAGAAAAAAAAATACTGATATACTCTCAAAAACCGTCCATGTCTATTATAAAATCATTTTTCTTTGATGATTACAACACAATCCTCTATAAAGAATACGACTATCGCTTATAGTGAAGGACATTTTCACTCTTTTATAAGACTAGTTCATAATCCTATTAGCAAACCTTGACGTATGCTTAAGTATATTTATCTCTCGATATATATATATAAGATACATATATTATATATATATGTATATATGAACTACACACCGAGGACATTGCTGGGTGCCGTTGGAATAATCACGGGTGGATGGTGATACTCCATTTAATAAGATATGTTCCGTATACCGACCGTTTGTTGTTACGACCAAACTATCGTCGATTGTGTCGATGAAGAAGAAGAAAAAAACAGAACGTACTCGTTCCTGCAACTCATGGCATCACACATACGCAAACGAAGCGGCGACGACACGCAAGCCAAGCAAGCAAAAAAAAAGGTAGTACGTGTGTGTAACTGAAGACACAACGAGAAGGAGAGAGAGAGAGAGAG